CCCAATACATCATCCTGATTGCCTCTGACATCGATACAGCGTTCCCGTCCTGCAGGAGAAATGCGTGGCGGATCCTGACTCCTCGCGTCCTTGCCCCTGCTTTACCCAGATCCACGATGTTGCCCGAGATAAGGGCTGGCAGTGACGAGGGCAAGTCCGGCCGAGGTCTGGACGGAGCGTGGGCGCCGCACGCCGTCTGCCTCAGCCTCCTTCCCACGTGGATGGCGCGACCTGAGACTCTATCTTCGCCCCGGCTGCGCGAGCAAGCACAGTCCTAAGCCTCCGCTTCCGTTGAGGCGACGATCCCGGCGGGAGCGAGAGGAAATTAGCCCTTAAATAAGTACCAACGTCCCGGCTCGCTAGACCCGGCGCGAGCGAACTTCCCCTGGCGACGCCCATCGTGGCCGCCCTCCATAAAAGAGCCAGTGCCCCCCCCCCCCACACACAAACCTGACGCAAAAACCACTATAGACTAGACGGCGGGAGTCCAACATACATGCAACTATTACATAAGCGTAAACTAAACGAACTACATTAACGTTAACACTATTCAAACAAACAGCAGGCGTACCCCCCCCGTCCTCCCCTGTAGTACGCACAGTCGCCGCCCACTACGACAGCCGGCACCGCGTTGTCCGGTTCGAGCCCCGGCCACCTTGCTCTCGCCTCGAACGGTCACTCGGTCAGAAGTTGAACAAGCAAGGGAAGTTCTCTTATCGCCAGCGTGCGTCTCCCGGTACTCTTGCTTGCACAGCTGCCTGACTGCATGTTTGGTTGTTTCTGCTTTTTTGCTTGTCTGCCTGTCTTCCTGTTGCTTCCCTATATGTCTGTTTGTCTATCTACCGAACTGCATGTCCTGTCTGTCTGTTTCTTCCCTGTATATCTGAGTAGTTGCCAATCTGTCTATTTGACCGTCTTTCTAGCACCTGTATCTACCTATCAATCCATCTGCTTATACTTTGTCTGGCCGTCTGCCTGAACCTCTGCCAGCTTCCCTACCCTCCTCCCCAGCTGTCTGCCCCCCCCCCCACCATCGCCCCCCACGGCAAAAGAGCGCTACGCCCCATTCGGCGGTGCCACGCGAGCCGCGGATCCCACAGCCCTTGTAACTTTACTCGCCGCCACAGCTGCCCCGCGCCCAGCGAACGGAAAAAAGTGGGCGGAGATGGTAAATAATCTTCGGACGTGGTGCCCGACTGTCCTGCTGTGATAAGCTATTCCAGCGCGGGCAGTCGTGCAGAAAAACGCACGTTCTGAATAGAAGAGGGCGAGCGGAAGAGAGAGAGAGAGGGGGGTGGGGGAGTAGACAAATATCAACGAGCGAAATCCAAATCCAAGGACAGTCGTGCATGAAACTGAGCGCAGCGCTTAACCAGCACACACGCAGTCAGTCAGTCAGTCAGTCAGTCAGTCGGTCAGTCAGCCTGTCTGCCTGCTTGCTTACTTGCGTGCCTGCCTGCTGTGCCTACCTGTCTGCCTGCCTGTCACCCTCTCCCTCTCTCTCTCCCTATCACCATCTCTCTCTCTCTCTCTCTCTCTCTCTCTCTCTCTCTCTCTCTCTCTCTCTCTCTCTCTCTCTATCTATCTATCTATCTGTCTGTCTCTCTCACCCTCTTTTCTCCTCCTCTCTGTCTCTGTCTCTCCTTCTCTCTCTCTCTCCCTCTCTCTCTCTCGCATTACACACATGCACTCCCGCAGCCTCGCTAGCCCCAACTCCCTCTCTTCGTGGAAATCCCAGCACATGTTATGCCTTCAGCCCCGACACATTTCCGACGAGTCTAAGGCGTCGCTTTTCCCAGAAGCATGTCCACTCACCCGCCCTCCCCCTCTCCCCTCTTCACCCCTCTCTTCGTCACTATCGCCTCACTATCGTTTCCATCCCTATTCCTCCCTCTAACCATCACCTTCGCCGCCAATCATCACCATTAACAACATTAACATTGTTCCGGACCAGCCAGATAACGCTGCCTCTCTCCCTCTCCCCCCTTTCCCCTTTCCCCTTCTCTTCCCTTCCTTCCTCTCCCTTCCCTCTCCTATTCTCTTACTAACAGATCGTATTGTACATGTTCATTACATTCTCCATAATGACATCGTCTGCACCACAAACTTAAACCGAGGAAAGAAAGATAAAAAAAAAATATACAAATACACAGAACTCCACACAGAAAACACGAAAATGATGAGACATGGCTGCGAATCCGTGTTCAAAAGCAGTGCTTGTACCACGATAAGTATGAAAATAGATCGCACGACAAGCAGCCGCGGTCTCTGTCCTCCGCCAGGCGACGGGAGGGAACGCGAGACGATTACCCCCCCCCCCCCCCGAGAGGAGACATAAAACCACGAGAGAAATAAATCACAGTGATTAGCTGATCGCAGACAGAGTATCTCGATCGGGTGACGAGTGAATCATAGTGCAATGCTGACTTCCGTGTAATCATATCGCGATAAAACACACTGGGCCGTCACGCACCATGTGGCGGCTGGTGGGCGTGGAGGAAGGGGAGGAGGGCAAGGATAAGGAGTAGAGAAAAAAATAAGAGCGAATAGGGGAAGGGGAGGGTGAAGGAAAATAAAATAAATGATAGTAGGAAAAAGAAAGAGAGAGGAGGAGACCGAGATAGGCGTCGCCACAGGGACGGGAGAGAGAATTTCTCGCGTCGAGAAACTGTTCCTCGACCTTCAACATTTACGAGATTTCACAATTACTGTCAGATATACAATGATCAAGTAGGAGCATGTGGCCTCGCGTGACATAGTTCAAGTATCTTCTTCAATACTAACCAGTCTCGCTCCTCCTTCCCCTCCCCTCTCCCCCGTCTCCTCTGCCTCCCCCACCCCCCACCACTTTCTCTCTCTCTCTCTCTCTCTCTCTCTCTCTCTCTCTCTCTCTCTCTCTCTCTCTCTCTCTCTCTCCCCCCCCCCCCCTTCGCCCAGCCACCGCACCGCCCAAAAAGTTGCTCGCCCTCCCGCGCCGAGACCCACTCCCCGCAGAAGGCAAGCCAAAGCACCGTAGATTCCAGCGCGCAGTCCGCTGATAAGGCAGACGCTCTCCCAAGGGCAAGGCGCCACGGGACGGCAGAGGAAGGGAGCCGCATGACGTCACGGCGCCCGTCATGTCCTGCCCAGGCCCTGACTCAGCCGTGTCAACACCGCCCGGCACGCCCGCACCTTCGCTCCGCCCGCAAACACAAACATCTCCATTTAACTGTTCCCGACGCCACTCGCCCTTCCTCGCCCTCGCCGCTCAGCCACGTCCTCCTCTTCTATAATGTGCGGCTATCAAGCCACAAGCACAGTCTGTCTTGGATGTGTGTGAGAAGGGGGGGGTGGAAGGGGGAGGGAGGGAAAGAAGGAGAGCGAGGGAGAGAGGGAGAGGGAGGGAAGGAGGGAGGATATATATATATATATATATATATATATATATATATATATATATATATATATACATATATATATATATATATACATATATATATATATATACATATATATATATATATACATATATATATATACATGTATATATACATATATATATATATATATATATATATATATATATATATATATATATATATATATATATATATATATATATATATATATATATATGTATATATACATATATATATATATATATATATATATATATATATATATATATATATATATATATATATATATATATATATATATATATATATATATATATATATATATATATATATACATATATACATATATACATATACATATATACATATATACATATATACATATATATATATATATATATATATATATATATATATATATATATATATATATATATATATAGAGAGAGAGAGAGAGAGAGAGAGAGAGAGAGAGAGAGAGAGAGAGAGAGAGAGAGAGAGAGAGAGAGAGAGACAAAGAGAGAGAGAGAGAGAGAGAGAAACACCTACTCACCTACTCCATCAAACAGTTTTTCAACCTCCTCGTAAGGCATCATAACCACTACTCAACGACGAATCATTCACAAAAATCCCAATCTTCCTTAATAACCCAGACTGCGCCTCGCCTCGTCCCCCCCCCCCCACCCCCCCATAAATGAACCGGATCCGCGGCGCCGCTCGACCCCCACGACCCCAGCGACACGCTCTCGAGGGAGGGGATCCATTAAAACACTTTTGAATAGTGATGATGGTGGTGATGATGGTGGTGATGATGGTGATGATGGTGATA